CTTTGGAAAGAACTTTTTTAGTGTCAGAGTGGTTGACAAATGGAATGCATTAGGAAGTAATGTGGTGGAGGCTGACTCCATACACAGTTTCAAGTGTAGATATGATAGAGCCCAATAGGCTCAGGAACCTGTACACCTATTGATTGACGGTTGAGAGGCGGGACCAAAGAGCCAGAGCTCATCCTCCGCAATTACAACTAGGTGAGTACAATGTGTCTGCTGGAGCTGGATGTCACAAAGGCTGTTGGGCCCTGACAGAATCTCACCATGGATACTAAAGGAAGGTGCAGAAGCACTAAGTGTGCCACTCTCTGTGGTGAGTCCACAGGTCACTGGAAACAGGAGACTTACCAAAAAGTTGGAATACAGCTAACGTAGTCCCAATATACAAGAAGGGTGACAGGCAAGAGGCACTGAATAGTGGCCAGTTTCCCTAACTTGTAAACCATACAAGGTGATGGAGAAGATCGTGAGGAAAAGGTTAGTAGAGCATCTGGAGTTAAATAACTTTGTAACACACCACCAACATGGGTTGAGGGAAGGTAAATCGTGCCTCACAGGCTTAATAGAATTCTATGACCAGGCAACAAAAATTAGGCAGGAAAGAGAAGGGTGGGCAAATTGTACTTTCTTGGACAGTTAGAAAGCCTTCGACACAGTACCCCATAAAAACCTGTTAAAAAATTTGGAGCAACAGGCAGGAGTAAAAGGGAAGGTGCTCCAGTGGATAAGAGAGTACTTAAGCAACAGGAAACAGCGAGTAACGGTGAGGGGGAAGACATCAGAGTGGCGAGATGTCACCAGCGGAGTTCCACAGGGCTCAGTACTTGGACCCATCCTGTTTTTAATATATGTAAACGATCTTCCGGAGGGTATAGACTCATTCCTCTCAATGTTTGCTGATGATGCAAAAATTATGAGAATAATCAAGACGGATGAAGACAGACAGAGACTACAGGATGACCTGGACAAACTGTAGGAATGGTCTAGAAAATGGCTGCAAAAGTTCAACTCAGGAAAGTGTAAGGTAATGAAATTAGGCAAAAGGAGCAGGAGGCTGTACACAAGGTATCATCTAGGAGGTGAAATCCTGCAAGAGTCAAATAGAGAGAAAGACCTGGGGGTTGATATCACACCGAACCTGTCCCCAGAGGCCCACATCAAAAGAATATCATCAGCGGCATTTGCTAGACTGGTCAACATAAGAACTACCTTTAGAAACTTGTGTAAGGAATCGTTTAGGACCCTGTATACCACTTATGTAAGACCAATCCTGGAGTATGCAGCTCCAGCCTGGAGTCCATACCTAGTTAAACTCAGGACAAAGTTAGAGAAGGTCCAGCGGTATGTCACCAGGCTCGTCACGGAACTGAGAGGAATGAGCTACGAGGAAAGGCTAAAGGAGTTGCACTTCACATCCCTGGAAAACATGAGTTAGGGGAGACATGATAACCACTTACAAAATTCTCAGGGAAATTGACAGGGTGGAGAAAAACAAACTCTTCAGCACGGGAGGGACACGAACAAGGGGACACAGGTGGAAACTTAGTACCCAGATGAGCCACAGAGACGTTAGAAAGAATTTTTCAGTGTCAGAGTAGTTAATAAATGGAATGCACTAGGAAGTGATGTGGTGGCGGCTGACTCCATACACAGTTTCAAATGTAGATATGATAGAGCCCAGCAGGCTCAGGAATCTGTACACCAGTTGATTGACAGTTGAGAGGCGGGACCAAACAGCCAGAGCTTAACCCTCGCAAGCACAATTAGGTGAGTACACACATACACTCACACACAGACACACAGACACAGACACACACACACACACACACACACACACACACACACACACACACACACACACACACACACACACACACACACACACACACACACACACACACACACACACCTCTTCCTCCATTTCTCTCTTACCCACCTTCTTCCCTAATGCCCACACCTTCTCCCTGAGTTCCCCCTGACTAATAAAATCTCTCTCCCACTCTCACTATCCATGCTCCATCCTCCCCTCTTCCCTCCACTCCCTCTATCCTTCTCCCCCCCCCCAACCTCTATCTGTCTCTCAACCTCATGCTACCTTTCAACCTCCCCCCCCAATGCCTATTAGACCCTCCCTAATCTTCTGACCCAGTATGCCCTTCCTATTCCAGACCTACCTACCCAGGCCCTACCACAGACCTTCCTACCTTTTTTCCTAAATGCCCAACCCCCATTCGCCCCCCAAACACCCCTCCAAACCCCATTCACCCCCAGACACCCCCGGATCCCCACAGCCCCCATTTTTCCTCCCCCCCAGATCCCCCCAGAACCCCAGAGAAAGGGCGAACTCTGGTACAAGAGTTTCCATGAAGAACCTCAAGGTTTGGTACACCAATGCTGATGGAGTATCAAATTAAGCAGAAGAGATTATAGAACGAGTGAGTGAGGCAGATCCTGACATTGCAATAGTGGAAACTAAAATAAATGACATGATCTCGGATGCAATCTTTCCAGAGGGTTACTAGGTGATAAGAAAAAAGAGGACACAGAGACAGGGAGGGGGAGCGGCACTCCTAATAAAGCGGAAATGGAAGTTTGAAGACCTGGGAAATCGGGTAACCAATGAGAGCACAAGCTCCATACTTGGAACTCTGACAGCAGATGGGAGGAAGATTGTGATCTTGGTAATCTACAATCTCCCTCCAAACAGTAGAAGACCCAGGCAGGAGTATGATGACAACAACAAGGCATGTATAGATGAACTGTAGAAAGCAGCAACACTAGCCCACAGAATGAGAGAGAAGCTGATCAGAATGCTGGTCATGGGGGACCTAGCCTAGGGAGCCTAGCCTAGACCTAGGGATTCTTGAGCCTACTGGGCTCTATCATATCTACATTTGAAACTGTGTATGGAGTCAGCCTCCACCACATCACTTCCTAGTGCATTCCATTTATTAACTACTCTGACACTGAAAAATTCTTTCTAACGTCTCTGTGGCTCATCTGGGTACTAAGTTTCCACCTGTGTCCCCTTGTTCGTGTCCCTCCCGTGCTGAAGAGTTTGTCTTTGTCCACCCTGTCAATTTCCCTGAGAATTTTGTACGTGGTTATCATGTCTCCCCTAACTCATGTTTTCCAGGGATGTGAGGTTCAAGGTCCATTTATCTCATGGAGAGATAAATTGGGAATCAAGGAATCCCCATGGAAGGGACGAAACGTGGGGAGCAAAGTTAGTAAATGTTATAGACAGGAATTTCCTAACACAACATGTGAAGGAAGACACAAGGGAAAGAGGAGGAGATGCACCGAGCCTATAGGACTTGATTTTCACCCAGAACGTAGAAGACATCGAGAATTTAAAACATGAAATACCTCTAGGGGCCAGTGACCATTGTGTCCTAGTCTTTGACTACATGATGGACAAATCCACCAAGGGCCATGACGAGGATTCGAACCTGCGTCCGAGAACATCCCAGACACTGCCTTAATCGACTGAGCTACGTCCTCACTACTCTCACTCTATCCTCACTGCTCTCACTCTATCCTCACTACTCTCACTCTCTCCTCACTACTCTCACTCTCTCGTCACTACTCTCACTCTATCCTCACTACTCTCACTCTATCCTCACTACTCTCACTCTATCCTCACTACTCTCACTCTCTCCTCACTACTCTCCTCACTACTCTCACTGTATTCTCACTACTCTCACTCTATCCTCACTGCTCTCACTCTATCCTCACTACTCTCACTCTCTCGTCACTACTCTCACTCTCTCGTCACTACTCTCACTCTCTCGTCACTACTCTCGCTCTATCCTCACTACTCTCACTCTCTCCTCACTACTCTCACTCTCTCCTCACTACTCTCACTCTCTCCTCACTACTCTCACTCTCTCCTCACTACTCTCACTCTCTCCTCACTACTCTCACTCTCTCCTCACTACTCTCACTCTCTCCTCACTACTCTCACTCTCTCCTCACTACTCTCACTCTCTCCTCACTACTCTCACTCTCTCCTCACTACTCTCACTCTCTCCTCACTACTCTCACTCTCTCCTCACTACTCTCACTCTCTCCTCACTACTCTCACTCTCTCCTCACTACTCTCACTCTCTCCTCACTACTCTCACTCTCTCCTCACTACTCTCACTACCTCACACAAAAAATCTCCCAAAAATGCATCAAAATACTATTCAACAAAAGCAAGAGATGAATTTCTTTTGTTTAACAAAAAAAGTCATATACTCGTCGTATTCATGAGTCATATATTCATCTTGGTCAAGATATTCATGTAATTTATTGCTGAAAACAATCATATTGAGAGTAACAGTCCCCATGGTGTGATGGTGAGGCACTCGCCCGGCGCTTCGCGAGCGATTTAGCCTTTGTTCGTATCCTGGCTGACGAGGATTAACTGGGTGTCAATCCATAATGGTATGCGGTTGTTAATGAGTTATTTAATAATTTATTTCCTAATAAATGAGCCCTCATCATGGGTCATAGTATCATCTTCATGGGTCATATTGTCCTCATCATGGGTCACAGTGTCCTCATCATGGGTCACAGTGTCCTCATCATGGGTCATAGTGTCCTCATCATGGGTCACAGTGTCCTCATCATGGGTCACAGTGTCCTCATCATGGGTCATAGTGTCCTCATCGTGGGTCATAGTGTCCTCATCATGGGTCATACTGTCCTCATCATGGGTCAAACTGTCCTCATCATGGGTCAAACTGTCCTCATCATGGGTCACAGTGTCCTCATCATGGGTCATAGTGTCCTCATCATGGGTCATACTGTCCTCTTCATGGGTCATACTGTCCTCATCATGGGTCATAGTGTCCTCAACATGGGTCATACTGTCCTCATCATGGTCACAGTGTCCTCATCGTTGGTCATAGTTTCCTCATCATGGGTCAAACTGTCCTCATCATGGGTCATAGTGTCCTCTTCATGGGTCATACTGTCGTCATCATGGGTCATACTGTCCTCATCATGGGTCACAGTTCCTCATCATGGGTCACAGTGTCCTCATCGTTGGTCATAGTTTCCTCATCATGGGTCATACTGTCCTCATCATTTGTCATAGTGTCCTCATCATGGGTAAAACTGTCCTCATCATGGGTAAAACTGTCCTCATCATGTGTCATACTGTCCTCATCATGGGTCAAACTGTCCTCATCATGGGTCAAACTGTCCTCATCATGGGTCATACTGTCCTCATCATGGGTCATACTGTCCTCATCATGGGTCATACTGTCCTCATCATGCGTCATACTGTCCTCATCATTTGTCCTAGTGTCCTCATCATGGGTCAAACTGTCCTCATCATGGGTCATACTGTCCTCATCATGCGTCATACTGTCCTCATCATTTGTCATAGTGTCCTCATCATGGGTCAAACTGTCCTCATCATGGGTCATACTGTCCTCATCATGGGTCATACTATCCTCATCATTTGTCATAGTGTCCTCATCATGGGTCATACTGTCTTCATCATAGGTCAAACTGTCTTCATCATGGGTCATACTGTCCTCATCATGGGTCATACTGTCCTCATCATTTGTCATAGTGTCCTCATCATGGGTCAAACTGTCCTCATCATGGGTCAAACTGTCCTCATCACGGGTCAAACTGTCCTCATCATGGGTCACACTGTCCTCATCATGGATCATAGTGTCCTCATCATGGGTCATACTGTCCTCATCATGGGTCATACTGTCCTCATCATGGGTCATACCTCATCATGGATCCTCATCATGGGTCAAACTGTCCTCCTCATGGGTCATAGTGTCCTCATCATGGATCATTGTGTCCTCATCATGGGTCATACTGTCCTCATCATGGGTCAAACTGTCATCATCATGAGTCATACTGTCCTCATCATGGGTCAAACTGTCCTCATCATGAGTCATACTGTCCTCCCCATGGATCATAGTGTCCTCATCATGGGTCAAACTGTCCTCCTCATGGGTCATACTGTCCTCATCATGGGTCAAACTGTCCTCATCATGGATCATTGTGTCCTCATCATGGGTCAAACTGTCCTCCTCATGGATCATAGTGTCCTCATCATGGGTCATATTGTCCTCATCATGGGTCAAACTGTCCTCACCATGGGTCAAACTGTCTTCATCATGGGTCAAACTGTCCTTCTCATGGATCATAGTGTCCTCATCATGGGTCATACTATCCTCATCATGGGTCAAACTGGCCCCATCATTGGTCATACTGTCCCTATCATGGGTCATACTGTCATCATCATGGGTCAAACTGTCCTCATCGTGGCTCATACTGTCCTCATCATGGGTCATAGTATCCTCGTCATGGGTCATGCTGTCATCATCATGGGTCATACTGTCCTCATCATGGGTCATACTGTCCTCATCATGGGTCATACTGTCCTCATCATAGGTCATAGTGTCCTTGTCATGGGTCATACTGTTCCCATTATAGGGCGTCCATGGGGTCGATACGAACAGTGTCAGACACCAGCTGACTTGCTAGAACCCTTCAGATGATGAAAGAGTCAAACCTTTTGGGCAATGTCTGACAGGAACCATTGTTCTGTCGCCGTTGTGTCTTGTTATTCGAACGTTCAGTGTAACTCCTAGAATGCACGATTTGAACTCATGCTATGATTGTTATTCAACGTTCTGTTTATCCGAACGTATCGTTTGTAAAAACGGAACAGACTCTTTGAACATATTATTTTGTCACTTGAACGTCAGGTTATCGATCCGATTAACCTATTTCGAACACCGTTTTACGTATCGAACAAGCGAAACCAAGAATTGGAATCACTGTTTCCTAGGTTGGGGGCCAACTCGTCCACTTTAAACAAATAAAAATACAACGACCAAATGGATATAAACCAATTTCCTTCACCACATTAAATCCAAACGCAAACTGCTGATTATAATCCTAATTACACATCCTTAATTAAATACAACACACAAACTCACCCAAATAATTAACTCTAATACAACGAATTAAATATTGTGCGAATATTATTAAAAATTGTAGCTGTGAATAATGTTTTGTCATTTCCATAAAAATGTTTAATCCTGAATAGTTTAAGCCTTAAGGCATTAGGACTCGTGAATGGTGAAGTGAAATGTGTTGTTGTATTAGGACAGACAAGAGGGGTGGGGGGGGGAGAGAGGGAGAGAGGGAGAGAGAGACAGATAGAGAGAGAGAGAGAGAGAGAGAGAGAGAGAGAGAGAGAGAGAGAGAGAGAGAGAGAGAGAGAGAGAGAGAGAGAGAGAGAGAGAGACAGATAGAGAGAGAGGGAGAGAGAGAGAGACAGATAGAGAGAAAGGGAGAGAAAGAGAGAGACAGAGACAGAGAAAGAGAATTTATATATATATATATATATATATATATATATATATATATATATATATATATATATATATATATATATATATATATATATATATATATATATATATATATATATATATCTATATATATATATATCTCAATATATCTCATAATCTATATAATCTCTCGATAATCTCTCTCAAGAGATTGAGCCTGCTCTTCTCTACATGTAGTTTCGTATAATATACAAAAATAGATGCTACCTTCAAGATACGTCTACCAGTAGCACAAAACGTTTTGACCAGGAGGCAAAACGTACCCAAGACTCACCCCCTACTCCACTCCCCCCACGCCGGCTCGTCATCAACCTGCTAACTACCCTTCCCAGCCTGCCTGCTTCTTATTGGTGACTTGCCGACTGCACACCTGCACACTGCACCTCAGCGCCCTCTACCTGAGTCGATGTCTGGGCTTGATCCAGCCATTGAAGTCAGAATATCCTTGTGCTCTCAAGCAGTGAACAACTAACTGATATATGCTGTATCAGGTGGATGTCTCACAGCCAGCGCCATATTCTCAGCACTTAATTATTTTTCACCTTTAACTTTATTATTATTGTAGAGTAACTTCATCCCTATTATTCATTTTGTTATATTGTTTTTGACTTGTTCTTTTGCACTGTACATTGCCAAGGGATTGTCTTCGTTTATAATTTGTTTTCTGTATTAATTAAAGTTTCATTGTTCATACTTTGTGCTTTGTGTGTCTTCCCTTACTTTATCACAGACAAACAGGTAAGCAGTCTATCTTTTGTTTTTGTAAGTGTGACTAGGCATTGACACCTGCCATTGGAGGACTGCCGAACATCTACACTCCAACACTTTCTCGTCACGAATATGTATATATATATATATATATATATATATATATATATATATATATATATATATATATATATATATATATATATATATATATATATATATATATTAGTATATTTTGGTAGCAGTCTTTCCTGTAGACATATATTATTAAATATGACCGAAAAAGTAAGATTAATAATTCTAACACGAATTTTCTTAATCTTTCGTACATTACGCTTCGCTGTTGGAGGTAAATCAAAAATCACTTCTCCAAAATTCATTTTTATTTCTAGTCTGACGCGACACGGGCGCGTTTCGTAAAACTTATTACATTTTCAAAGACTTCACAAATACACAACTGATTAGAACTTACGTATCTCTGATTTTATATCTACATTTGAGTGAGGTGGGAGGGGTGATGTGGCATTAACACAAGACAGAACAAGAGGGGATATTAATAGGGTATTAAAAGTATCAACACAAGACAGAACAGAAACAATGGGTATTGAATAGAAGTGTTTGTAGAAAGCCTATTGGTCCATATTTCTTGATGCTTCTATATTGGAGCGGAGTCTTGAGGTGGGTAGAATATAGTTGTGCAATAATTGGCTGTTGATTGCTGGTGTTGACTTCTTGATGTGTAGTGCCTCGCAAACGTCAAGCCGCCTGCTATCGCTGTATCTATCGATGATTTCTGTGTTGTTTACTAGGATTTCTCTGGCGATGGTTTGGTTATGGGAAGAGATTATATGTTCCTTAATGGAGCCCTGTTGCCTTATGCATCGTTAAACGCCTAGAAAGAGATGTTGTTGTCTTGCCTATATACTGGGTTTTTTGGAGCTTACAGTCCCCAAGTGGGCATTTGAAGGCATAGACGACGTTAGTCTCTTTTAAAGCGTTCTGTTTTGTGTCTGGAGAGTTTCTCATGAGTAGGCTGGCCGTTTTTCTGGTTTTATAGTAAATCGTCAGTTGTATCCTCTGATTTTTGTCTGTAGGGATAACGTTTATATTAACAATATCTTTCAGGACCCTTTCCTCCGTTTTATGAGCTGTGGAAAAGAAGTTCCTGTAAAATAGTCTAATAGGGGGTATAGGTGTTGTGTTAGTTGTCTCTTCAGAGGTTGCATGGCTTTTCACTTTCCTTCTTATGATGTCTTCGATGAAACCATTGGAGAAGCCGTTATTGACTAGGACCTGCCTTACCCTACAGAGTTCTTCGTCGACTTGCTTCCATTCTGAGCTGTGGCTGAGAGCACGGTCGACGTATGCGTTAACAACACTCCTCTTGTACCTGTCAGGGCAGTCGCTGTTGGCATTTAGGCACATTCCTATGTTTGTTTCCTTAGTGTAGACTGCAGTGTGGAAACCTCCGCCCTTTTCCATGACTGTTACATCTAGAAAAGGCAGCTTCCCATCCTTTTCCGTCTCGTAAGTGAAACGCAGCACGGAACTCTGCTCAAATGCCTCCTTCAGCTCCTGCAGATGTCTGACATCAGGTACCTGTGTAAAAATGTCGTCAACATACCTGCAGTATATGGCCGGTTTCAAGTTCATGTCGACTAAGACTTTTTGCTCGATGGTACCCATGTAGAAGTTTGCAAACAGGACACCTAGGGGAGAACCCATGGCGACCCCATCTACTTGCTTATACATGTGCCCATCCGGGCTCAAGAAGGGTGCCTCTTTAGTACAAGCTTGGAGTAGTTTCCTCAGAATACTTTCTGGCATGTCAAGAGGAGTACAGGCTGGATCACGATACACTCTGTCGGCTATCATTCCGATTGTCTCGTCCACAGGTACGTTGGTAAACAGCGATTCTACGTCCAACGAGGCTCTTATCCCTGTGGCCTGTGTGCCCCGCAGTAAGTCCACAAATTCCTTTGGAGACTTCAGGCTGAAGGCGCAAGGAACATAAGGAGTCAGCAGGCCGTTGAGTCGCTTCGCCAGTCTGTACGTGGGTGTGGGTATCTGGCTAATGATTGGCCGAAGCTTTCGTGAGAACAGGGAGATAGTTGTCAGGAGAGGTGACAAGTCGCCAATATATGTCATTCTTAAAAAAGACGAATATCTGGCGAAAATGAACATCATACTCTCTGACCAAACTAAGTTCCAAAGGGTAACGAAGGACACTACAGCCGAATTAAAAGCAAAGGTCAACAAACTGATCGAAACTGTGAACGCCAAGAAATCCGGACTCCACCTGCCAAAGATCATTGGGGAATATAAACCTGGATATGCGTATGGAAATGTCAAGACGCACAAGCCTGGAAACCCACTTCGGCCAATCATTAGCCAGATACCCACACCCACGTACAGACTGGCGAAGCGACTCAACGGCCTGCTGACTCCTTATGTTCCTTGCGCCTTCAGCCTGAAGTCTCCAAAGGAATTTGTGGACTTACTGCGGGGCACACGGGCCACAGGGATAAGAGCCTCGTTGGACGTAGAATCGCTGTTTACCAACGTACCTGTGGACGAGACAATCGGAATGATAGCCGACAGAGTGTATCGTGATCCAGCCTGTACTCCTCTTGACATGCCAGAAAGTATTCTGAGGAAACTACTCCAAGCTTGTACTAAAGAGGCACCCTTCTTGAGCCCGGATGGGCACATGTATAAGCAAGTAGATGGGGTCGCCATGGGTTCTCCCCTAGGTGTCCTGTTTGCAAACTTCTACATGGGTACCATCGAGCAAAAAGTCTTAGTCGACATGAACTTGAAACCGGCCATATACTGCAGGTATGTTGACGACATTTTTACACAGGTACCTGATGTCAGACATCTGCAGGAGCTGAAGGAGGCATTTGAGCAGAGTTCCGTGCTGCGTTTCACTTACGAGACGGAAAAGGATGGGAAGCTGCCTTTTCTAGATGTAACAGTCATGGAAAAGGGCGGAGGTTTCCACACTGCAGTCTACACTAAGGAAACAAACATAGGAATGTGCCTAAATGCCAACAGCGACTGCCCTGACAGGTACAAGAGGAGTGTTGTTAACGCATACGTCGACCGTGCTCTCAGCCACAGCTCAGAATGGAAGCAAGTCGACGAAGAACTCTGTAGGGTAAGGCAGGTCCTAGTCAATAACGGCTTCTCCAATGGTTTCATCGAAGACATCATAAGAAGGAAAGTGAAAAGCCATGCAACCTCTGAAGAGACAACTAACACAACACCTATACCCCCTATTAGACTATTTTACAGGAACTTCTTTTCCACAGCTCATAAAACGGAGGAAAGGGTCCTGAAAGATATTG